TAAAAATAAATTAAAGTAATTAAACGCGATGAAATCCGTAAATAATAGTTTTATTCAATGTGTAGTGTTCGCGAAAATTTAAGAAATCATCTAGGATTCTTTTTATATCTGAAAGCTAGAGCTTCTCATGTGGTCCTATATAAATTTCAATAAGATCTGATCAGCAGTTTTTGACTTCGACTACATTGATAAATTTCTTATTTGTATTTATATTGAAATCGGTACCTAGTACAAAATTAATAATTTTATCAATTGTAGAACGTCGATTCAGCTGCGCAATTAGTTTTGGCCTGGTGTTCAGTACGGCTGCAACTAGTTGTATTGTACGCATAGGTCTGCGTGGACTTATATTTTGATAGAGGGGGAACATTTTTTTTTTTTTGCGCCCGAAGCAATTAAAGGGCTACCCTATACGTAGGGAGGCGGAAAATGCATTACGCATACCACGATAGCCGGTCTATCGTGGTTATGAGGGGCTCACTGTCCTACCGGGGACCCTAAGTGATACCCTCTAAAAACCGCCTTTGGGGACAGGCAACCGGCTGATTAAGCTCTATTGTGCCTTATCATGAGCGACCCTCTTTTGGGAAAAGAGGGCGCAGGCGGCTAAGTGCCGCTGAGGGAGTGCCTACGAAGGCAAATTAATGTTAGATATTACAATAATTTTATTTAATTAGAGTTGGCCTGAGCCGCCAGGAGACAGTTCAGGTCGTTTGAAAGTTTATTAGGCGGGTCCGAGAGAGAGTTTCTCGGCCTGCGGACACGACAGCGAGAGGGGGGTGGGGCTGCATAAGAAGCTGCCTCACGAATTAAATGGTTTGGGTGCGACTCTGAGGCTTTGAAGAAGTTCTCAGAGAGTTTTTTAAGAAATTGTTGAATTGTTGGGAGCTCTAAGTCCCGATGAAGGTCGGCATTACGGACGTACCACGGTGCGTTCGCAGCTCGACGACAGAAGAGGTTCTGAACTATTTGGAGTTCATTTAAAATGTTAGGGTTTGCGTGGGCAAAGACGGGGCCCGCGTAGGAGGCAGAGGGGGAACACCTATGTATGGCTCTTTTATACTTCCCTCCGATCCGCCAATGGTCCGTTTTGCTCTAATAGAAATGCTGTCCTAATGAGTTATTTTTAAGTACCTATGTACAAAAGATTTATACATAAATGGATGGAAAAAATTATCAACTTGTATAATTTTAATTTTATTTAATGCACAGCCATTGTACGTCAAATCCTGCTAATACTAACCTTACTTTTGAAGAGATTAACATTATCGATAAGATTTCATCGAAATATCCCTAACTGGCAAAGGTATGTTGCATGCAACCTTTTTAACTTCGTAAAATTCTTTAATTTTTAGGGTTTCGTAGCTAATTATTTTTCTCCGGTTTCGATGATGTTGGTGCCGTTAGTCTTGCGGCTTTTACAGCTTCATAGGACTCAATAAATATTTTTTTTTATAGAATAAAGGTGACAAACAAGCATACAGTTGCCTGTTACCTGTATGTTACCAGGTAGTTACCTAATGGTAAAAGGATGTTGTGTCCCATAGACATCTACATTTACCCTCGATTAAGAATCAACATGCAGATGCCTTGTCACCCCTGAGGACTAAGATGGAATGCCTCATTTCCAGTAAAAAGGGTCTCCATACGAAACACAGCAGCATTAAGCTACTATTTTACGCCGACCCATTCGTGCCACAACTGCAGCGTGGCTCTACCACGTATATTATTGAGTGAATAGATTTATTTTAATAGAATTTAATAGGTTTACAAATGAGAATACACAGTTCACCTGATTATAAGTGGATGCTGCACTGCTGGATTGCTAATGGATAAAATGATAAATAAGGGTTCCCAAAAGGTAATATTTGACTATTGTAGCAATAAATTTGAAGAAAAGTTTTTCTCACATTTCTCAGGTGCACTAAGAGAAAAACTACAACACATTCACACCAGTTCATGAAGTTGCCAATTCGGTAATGCAATAAAGTTTCATTATTGTCGGTTTATTCAGTATATGTTTTGGCAGATTATAGATATTGCGTTGTTAATTGTTCGAGTCTGTGGTCAACGATCACGTTCCGATATTATGTTGACATTGATGATTGAAATTAAATTTGATCATAAACTTTTGGTATTTTTATATTTGTTTATTTGTGCATTTATTATATTTAGATGTTTCGCGTTTGTTTAAAGTTTCGATGCATTATTAAGACCATATATATACCCCTATTACACTACCATGAATCAGGGTCCCTACGCCCTGATTCAGGGTGGTGTAATAAGAGAAACGGACTAAGGGTCCCTAATTAGGGCGTCAAAGTAGACCCGGTCTGCTGTACCCTTGCCACTGTGCAGTGTAATAACACTAAGGGAGTTAGGACACTTATTCGATGCGCAACTAGGGGTACAAACGATACATCAATTCTTTCAAACATCGATATATCGTTCATAAACATGGTTGTTTATGAGCAATGTTTTATGAACGATGTTTTGGCGTGCCGTCAAAGAATTCGAAATAACCAACTATTCGAAGGTATGAAATTCCGTATGTTAAAAGTTGCGAACGATAATTATCACGAATTTTATGTCGCCGAAAACTAAACATTCGAAACGAAATATGTCAAAGTTAGATAATGTCAAAATTTTTAAATTTGGAAGGTTTACGAGTATTTAGCAGAAATAACTCAACCTCAAAAATTTTAATTACCAATCAATAAACACGCGAATGGTCCTTCAGCCGTAAATAAATATACTTAAACTTCAAAAGTGCAATTGTCTTCAATCGGTAATTCCATTATCGATATAAAATTGTAGTTATTTTTATTGTGATAATTAATTAAGAAAAGTTTACAAATATTGAAAATGGATTAAAATTGTTTTATTCATTTTCTTATTAATAATTATATTGTTTAAGCTTTAACTTTTTATGGATGAACGGTTATTCATCTGTTTGTATTTCAGTATAATTTCATAGATGTATTCAGAAAATGCGATAATACTGAAGGTAACAACTACCATAAAAAATTAACGCACCACATCATAAGAAATAAAACTAAAGCAGAAGACGAGTTTCATATATTACATGTGGGATCGCATGAAAGGGTTATTTCCCGGGTTTCATAGCTTAGATGTGTCTATTTGCCTATCGTGGCAACTTCGGTATCCCGTAAGCGGCTCAGAGGCTGGATCTATAGATTTCCAGGAGAGAAACCGCTTACTATGCGCCAGGCTGTCAAAATTGTTATTTTAAAATTCAATTCGAAAGAAATAAACGTAAAAGTAACAAAATATTTAATAAGTTCTTGTTTTCTGATAACTATTCAATAAAATTAAATGTGTAAAAATAAATAGTGTAAAACTTCCTAATTATACTTCTTTGTTTCATTTCTGTTCAATATTATTACCTATTCCATAAATATATTATTACCATAAATTTATATTACCATTTAAATAATATATATATATATATATATATATATATATATATATATATATATATATATATATATATATATATTTAAATGGTGATAAAAAACATCGAAAAAAAAAATAGATATATCGTACATAAGCTTCCTATAGATGTGTTTACTCGGAAAAATTACGACTCGAGTTAACTCGAGTTGAAATTCACACAACTCGAACTAAACTCGAGTTACGCAACTAGAGTTAGCAGGACGAAACACAGTAAATGATTTGTTACAATTACTTTAAAATATCGATTATATATATATATATATATATATATATATATATATATATATATATATATATATATATATAACTTTTCTCGCTTGTCCATCCCTATGAATGAGTAAGGGCGTAAAATCAGGGTAATGTAATAACTGACCTCCCTAATTAGGGGCCACGCCCACCCTTCATTCAGGGCAATAGTTTAAACTGTCTTATTTATTGGCTATATTGTCTATGGTCTTATTTATGAATTGTAGTTTTTTTATAGGATTGGATGACAAACGAGCACATAGTCAACCTGACGGTAAGTGGTTGCTGTGGTCCATAGACATCTACATCCACCCCCGATTACGAATCAAAATGCAGATGCGTTGTCATCCGTGAGGACTTCTCGTTTTCAGTAAAAAGAGTCTTCGGTTCTCTACTCACCATACGAAACACAGCAGCATTAAGCTACTATTTGATTAGCTTGTATTCTGTGAGAGCGTGGTACTTACCCGGTCGAGCCGACTCATTCGTGCCACAACTATACTACTAATATAACTGTAATATGGTTATACCACATAAAAATTGAACCATTTTTGTTGAATCACAGTTCGTCACAATTTTTTTACTTGCCTGATTTAATATCTTAGCACTTCCTCGAATGTCTGCATCTGTCCTGCTTTAATTTAAAAAAATTTTGTACAAAATAAGTTCATTGTAAATTGATATATATTTAAAAAAATTCCACCTGGGTTTCTTGCTGGTTCTTCCCAGGACAGAGGTTTATTTGCGAACCAGTGGTAAATAAAAAAAAGACTCAATAAGTATTATACAATAATCTATATTGAATAAAAAAAAATTCAAATCATACATTTCATTTCATTGTCCTTTTTGTTGATATTTTGACACAGGTAGAAATGAGATTATTTATGTTCTCTGCATCACTTTATTATATTGCGTAAATTTAAAGATGTTATATATTTTGCGCGTTTGATCTTGAATTTTTGAATGAATTTTTGGGCGTTAATGTATAACAGTAATCTTAGTGTTATTCCCCCCCCCTTGCATTGCCGAATACGTCTAAGGTAAAGATCCGCCCTAACTTCACATGGGTAATTTCTAAAATTTAATCAAAATCAGTCGATCCGATTTCGAGTTTTTGTGGAATGTAGACAGGTGAAGAAGTAGGCATTGTATACTCTATTGTATTTAATGTGGCATTTAAATAAAATGCATTATGTCCTCGTAAACGCTTTATTTTCACCGATATGAACAACCCTGAAACAAAAAACTAGTATGCAGAGTGGAGAGCAAAGATGGAATTATTCAGTTCGGAGGCAGCGATCGGAACACCGCTTCAGGCAGTCGGGGTCGTTGCGACAGTGTGCTCGACAGCTCGCTTGGCAACGTGTCACTGTGCGCACGTTGCTACGTGCGAGTTTCTCCTCGAACATCATACTGTGAAAAAAGAATATTTCATGACTTTGTCCTCAAGAGGGCGCCATATTCAATTAAATGTGAAGTCACATAGCCTATAACCAGTGGACGATCAAGACACTTCCAATGATACCTCATTTGTCAAATTTTGATAAGTACTTTAGAAGCTATGAGGAAATAAATGAACATACATACAAACATATCGGTCAAAATCATAACGTTCCTTTTTGATCTCTGTAGTCGGGTAAAAGGTAACCTTTGTCACAATTCTTTATTCAAATTTAATCAAGTAAACAATATGTGCAATTTCTAGTTTTTAAGAATAATCATGTCAAATCAAACAAATAAAACAAGTACCTAGGTAAGTTAAAATGATAATGGTCACAAAATAATTTAACATTTTTTATATTACTGTAAAACAAATAAAAACAATTTTATCAAACATTCCTTTTTCATAAATACTAATTAAAGACTTACCTGTCTATGAACGGTACTGATGTGCACGTCGCAGCATCACAATGCAGGACGGGGGGCGCCACAGCTGCCATCAGCGACCCGTCCTCGCCTACCACGTATGGCACGTGATCGAGGTACACGTTGTCGAATAAACAGGCGCGCTTCATGTACTCTTCTGGGTGGGTGAACATCGTTGATGGAATTCCTGGTTGGGGGACGTAAGAGAAAATGTAAAAGCGTGGGAAAACCTAGCGTGCTTTAAGGTGAAGTGGGCACTAAAAGCAGACTTTTCACGCTTTATAGGTGCGCAAAAAATCAATTTTTGTCATTAAAAATTATGAATTCACATTCCTTAAAATTCATTGTGAAAGTTAAATATTTTTTTAGAGAATTATGGTGGCCAAAATATGATTGATACACTTTGGCTCGATAGAAAAAGATCGCAAAGTTTCCTCAAAATCTATAATTTTAGGTACGTCCACTTAGGGAGAAAGCAGTTTCATTCGAATATAATTAAAGCAATTTAAATTAAATTCGGGCTATGTTTTCACCATTTTTCAATAAAAGAGTATATATCATTTTCAAAAGAAATATCAAATAAATATTGTGTGATGCGTGCGGGCCGGCCGAAAGGGGCATATATTCACCGCTCCCTCGTCGAGCCGCCAGTCGCATAGATAAATAATACCTATATACCAGAGATAGATGCGCCACTCACATTTCAGTTTTGGAAATAGTGTACCCCGCACGCTAGATGACGCTGTAGTTTTTAGTAAAACGCAGCCTGTGGTAGGTATCGCTAGATGGCGTATTTTACGCAATGACTATCCTGATTATTTACGAAATGTTCAATTTTAATATCAATGTTTATGTTATCGACTAAAAGTAATGGCACATTTAAACAGGGTCAGTAGCTGTCGTCAGTGCTGGCGCCGAAAACTGACTCTTACTATTTACAAGCAGTCAGTATTTCGTCAGTAGTCGAGTATATTTCTTTTGGTGCACATACGTTCGAGAAAAATGAATTCTCGAAAACAGAAAAAAAATCAAAGTTAATAATTTGTTGAGAAAATTTACCTTTGTGATGATGCAAGTACTAACTGGAATGTTAGAAGAAGAGATATCTAAACAGAAACGAATTTGGGTAAGAAAATGGATAGATGACAGAGATAAAACTGGAGGTTCTGCTCTGTTGTTAACCCAGTTGACAATGGAAGATCCTGGGGAATACAAACTGGCTTTGAGAATGACGCCAAAAAACTTTGACGATTTGCTTATGTTGCTATCAAGCTCTATTCAGCGTCAAGACACATTTATGAGAGACGCCCTGCCAGCCAAAGTGAAACTCGAAATTTCGCTGACATTTTTGGCTTCTGGAATGTCGTTTCGGAATCTCTGTCACTTTTATCGTGTATCGATACCATCTATTTCTAATTTAATACCGGAAGTGTGTTGGGCAATATATGAGTCATTGAAAACACAGATTAAGGTAAGAAAATTATTTATTGAAAAAATACTTATAGTAGGTTATCAAAAAAAAAATTACAATCACATATAAATCATAATAATCTAGACAAAAGTAGGTACTAAGCTGAATCAAAAGCATACTTAATAACATCAGTTACACTGTCAATTTCACACTCAACATTATCGTTATTAAGAGCTGTATTAGGGGCGGTACGGATGATCACCTGACCGGGATCTACATATCTTGGACTTTGAGCCATCTGTGTAGACTGGGTGGGATAAAATCCTTTTTTTTTCGTTGCTTGAGCAACAGTTCTTTGGGATTTTAGCAGTCATCTGAGTTACATTGGGGGGATAAAATCCTAAGGAACTACTGCTGCCGCTGTTTGTCGTAGAAGATGGACTAAGAGTGTAACGGTTCTGCTGAGGCTGTGTACGAGTGGTAGAACTCAAAGAAAAGTGAGTATTTGGGTAAATATTCACGTTTCTTCTTCTCTTTTCTATATCTGCCCTTCTACATTTGGATAATGTTATTTGTATTTCTTCCTGTGCAATTATGCATTGTTCGTCAGAGAGTTTTTTTAACTGAGAAGCCACGTGCTTTCCGTAAATATCACAATCACTTTCTTCGTCTGATGGCATATTGATACTATGTGATAAATTTTTTATGTCTTTTATCATTTCGGACATCTGAGACAGTTTGCTACGTTTAGACCTCGGTCCTGTCGGGTGATTGGAGTTTTGTGTGATCAGCCCGGATTCTGAAGCTGGTGAATTCGCAGTGTTATTATTTTCTGCGTTAAATCTTATCTCATCTTCATCAAAATCACCAGAAACAGGAATATTGTTGGGAGTGTCCGAATTATCCTGAAAATAAGTAATTAGTTATAACAACGAGTACCTAAATCGATTTAAAAATATGAAATAACCTACTAGGCGTAAATTATTAGTATAAATACCGTAACGTATAGCTAATTACATACATACAAAACTTATACCTACAATCCTACCTACATTATACATACGACACGTATGGCGCAGCGGTAGTGAGGCTGCCTTACATTCTTAGGGTCCCGGGTTCGAATCCCGGTAGGAGAAAATGTTTGTGTGATGAGCACAGGACATTTGTTTCCGAGTCATGGTTGTTTATATGTATAATAAGTATGTATTTACAAACAAAAAGTATCTATGTAGTATATCAACTAACTGGTGTCCACGACACAAGCCTCGTTGCTTAGTGTGGCACTAGATTGCTCTGTGTTTAATAATTTCCAGCGATATTTATTTATTTATACCTACCTACACACACATCTATACTAATAATAATAATATATTTGTGTTGGCGACGCGCCTATAAAAATGTTTCAGTTTATTAAATCAACCGATGACGTTGCTATGAAAAAAGGGGCAGTCACGAGCAACGACGCTCTGATAAGAGAATGCTTAGTTAAATCTTTAAGAAATGTCGAATTAATGATATGAAGGTCTTGGGTTCGACTCCCAGGCCGGACTAGTTTGTTTGTTTTCCTAAGTAATATCGCTTAATAAATTCGTAAGGAATTTAAGATATAAATTATGTTACCGGATTTGTTCCCCGGTTGAAATCATCTTTCAAATGATGTAAATTCATAAGAATATTAAAGTGAAGTTAAAGATCGGATTTGTTCCCCGGTCGAGATAATCACTCTGTGCATAGGCAGAATTAATGGATATTAATTGCATAAATGTTGTTTTGTATAAGTTTGATACGTTTTGTACGAAAACAAATGCCTATTTGTTATGATTGATTAATGAGAACATTCATTTATATTGTTATCTGATTAAAGATAGTTTCCTACAGTTCGAAAATTGTATAAAAGCATTTAATTTGCCTAATATGGTCAAAATTAGTGTATATCAGACTTCCATTTTTTCTGATAGCCGAGAGCCGTGCAAAGTTAGTTGTTCAAATAGTGTGAGTTCATAGACGCACGCTAGCCACGCCCTTAGGAGGCCGAATATGTAAAAATTTAAAATGTTTGTAATTCAGTGATTTATGTAAAAATTACTTGTAAAATATTTCAGGTTAATTGTACGTGCTAAAAAGGTAAATTCTGTGTTATTTTCATGTGAAAATTCCTGTGTATAAGTGAAATAATGATAGTTTTGTATAAGAAATTTAAAAGTGTTTTTAATAGTGAAATAAATAGAAAAAATGTAAATTAAACTATTGTATTGGTTAGCTTATGTATAATTTCAAGTGAGAAACATTGTTTTAACTTTCTGTGTTAAATATTTAAGAAATTTCGATTTCGAACTTGTGAGTAAAATAGGCAGTTTTCGTTTAATAAATAAAAGGTTTTTTATGATATGAAGATATGATGTATATCATGGTGTAGATATTGTTTTGTACTACCTATATTGATAAATTGTATTTGTATATGATTTGAATAAAAAAAGATATTGAGTAAAACGTGAGAGAGTAATAGAACAAATTCATGTAATTGAGTTGCGCAAGCGCGCGAATGGCGCGGCTCACTTTCGCGTATAGCTCTGGGGTAGCTTAGTGAACGGGTTTTATTGCAATTCGTTCGGGAATGGTTCGGGAAATGTTCGGGAATCGTTCGGGAATCCTTCGGGGAAGTTCGGAAATAGTTCGGAAATAAATAAGAAAATCCGAGAAAAAGTTCAAGAAAAGTGAAAAACCAGCAGTATAGGGAAAAGTGATTACTCTCTCACGGAACGGTTTGAAGATAATTGCTGTTTCATTCCCAAGATCCTTTAAGTTATACAGTCCACATCGAAGAATTAAGGCGTCGGGACCGGGACGACTTCGGAAGACCCGTAATCCCCGTCTGAACCTACTTGCTGAAAAGGAAGAGGTTATCGCCCTAGTGTGTTACTCCGTTGCGGAGATCACATACGTTGTTCCCGAACCCAACGTAGGCGTGATAGGAGGCCGGATCGAGAGAAGCCTCGATTCCTGTTTCTTAGTACCCGATCCGCTAGGTCCTTTTTAATTGGTCCTTTTCAGGATCAAGAGGACGCCCGAACCTGTGTTCCTTTTCAATTGGACCTTCGGAGCCGGATTGAAGACCACCCGAACCCGCCAGCTGGATCAAGGAACCAGCTGTGGACTGCTGGTTGTGGAAGAAGAAGACCTTCGGAAGCCGAGTGAAGATCAGCAACCGAAGGAAGCCAGAGGTTTGAGCTGAAGCAATAGGACCAAAGGCCTGAAGACCAGGACGGCAGCACTGAAGGGCTGGACCTGGAACTACCGGAAGAAAGAAAACCGGGATTGCAGCTTGGGGCGTGTGCTCGCATGGGGCACATATCGCAGCCGGGCGCAGGTGTCTTGTGAAGGCACTCATCGTGGCCAAGCAGGGCTTGGCATTTTTCCTGTCGGGCAAGCGTGCTCGGCATTTCCTGTCAGACGATCGTGTCTGGCATTTCCTGTCGGACGACCGTGTCCGGCATTTCCCGTCGGGTCATCAGGGTGCAAAAGCATCCACCGCTGCTGCTGCCGGGCGAGGGTGCGCGTGGGCACCTGACTGCATCGCGGCCGGAGGAGGGCGCTTGGACGAGGCGTCACCGGCAACTGGGCGGCGAGCGCAGCATACATCCCGACCCCCTAACGGTGCCAAACGGTTGGGCTCTGGCATAACACCTTCGGGTGGAGCAGTTCTCTCGAGCGAGACTGCGCTTGCACTACCGCTCGACTGTTTCGTCATATTCCTTGGCGGGACAGTTCCTAAACCT